TTGGCTAGTCAGAAGACAAGACGCTAATTAAATATTTCTTCCCTTTTCAGGTTCGCCCCTCTGATTAGCCACTCTAAAAATCACTCCAGGGAAAACCAGAAAGTTATATTTAAAACAGAGAGGCATGATTAAACATTCCTCTGCTAATAAAAAAAAAAAAAGAAAATAAAAGAAAAATGAAGTAAGAGCAAAGCGATCAGCTCCAGCAAGGCTAGCAGGTTATTGCTGTATTCAAACTAATGCTTAACCCTTCTAGTCTAGCCGAGGAAAGCATAAGTGATCTCAGGGAAGTTGCCAAAGAACCTCATTACCACACACCATTCGACCAAAATTTATTTGTTTTCCCAAGCTAAATTTGCTATTAAATATGTATCTATATCCACACGCGTGGATGGATATCTATTGGGCATCTTATTTTTCAAGGCAAACCATACTCCTGAATTCAACAGATGCCAAGCCTATAGTAGCAATTAATAACACCATTGCCAGTTCCCTACCCCTGAACCATTCACATTGTTTTCGCTGAAAACGGTTCCAACACGGCACATACAGATCACCAGAGCTCTGATTTTATTCTTCCAAATTATACACATGCTAACTAGGAAGCTACCTTAACGATCAGCATTTCCACTGGTCTTTTCCCAAAACCATGGTGAGTTTGGGGGGATCTTTTCCTCTTTGTCTTATTTGCTACTGCCTGGGAGGTCTTCATTCATAAAATTTCCTTGCTTGCTACTGCCAGAATTAAAGCCTTAATACCACAACAAGATCTATGCTAAGTTCACAGTGGCACAGACTTGTGCTGTGACCTTTGTCAAAGTACTTTATCACAAGCATTTATACGGCTGTGATATCAGCAATGTATTTGTAGGGTCCTACACATTGCAAGAGAAACCTCCTTTACCAGTGAAACTATAACATAATTAGCGTCAGTTCACCACTAATATAAAAAATTGCAGGTAACGCTTTCATTCTTTACATTGCATTTATATACTTGATAACACTTCAGAATCACAGGATGGTTTGGGTTGGAAGGGACCCCTAGAGGTCACCCAGTCCAACCCCCCTGCAGGGAGCAGGGACACCGCTAACCAGATCAGGTTGCTCACAGCCCCGTCCAACCTGGTCTTGGACTTGGCTTTGAACGGGATAACTCAGCAGACTTCTAAAGGATGCGCGTACACAAAACCTGCACGATGGCCTCCACTCATAACAAGGGCCCCTATGAAAATATAAGTATCCTTCGGCAGGATTTTTTTTTAAATTAAATATTATTTCTGGAAAAAATATTCCTAACTACTGACAGGGGTACTCTCAGGTAGACTAAGTCTGAAAGTAAAAATTACTGTTAGATTTGCTAGCTATAGTAAAGGACATAAAATGGTACATTGCAGGCTTTTAACCCCAGATTGGCTGTAAAGCTTCAAATTTTTGTGTTATTTGCTTCGATTTCATAGCCTCTATAACCTTTAAGACATTGGCAAGATCTCTGCAGACCAAAAGCTCACCAAAGTCTTAGGTAAGGTGTACCCCCAAATTTCCCAGTTTGGGATGAAAATAAAATTCTGTAACATAGCTCTGGGAAAAGAAACCCTCAATGGTACAAAACGTAACTGCCTCTCCAAGCCCACAGCTGTATTTGAACGGCCTTGTGAAAAGACCTCAAGGTAGTCAGAGGAGTGAGATGGAGCTGCTTTTACCTTTTACTTAAAGCACTCCAAAAAACACCAACAGCCCTTTTGATCTTCAAAGGTAGCGTTATTGGACTGCAGACTACAGCAAGATAAAGAAAACTCGGTTCTGCCGGGTGAAACATGAAAATTGCAAACAAATCTCCTCCCTGCTCATTACGCCTGTGCATGGCACAGCCTTTCTTCTTCCCCTGCTCTCAGTCCAGCAGGGTTTCCCAAAGTTACAACAATCTGTAGCTACAAAGGCTCCTTTGGATCCCTAGGAAATTTTCCTTTTTCTCTTCCCCTTTGAAACTCAGATGTGAGTCTTTCTAAAACTCTTCTCCATGTCCCCACCTGTGCTGCGAAACCCCAGCTCGCTGCCTCCTTCCAGCCTAACTCCTCCTCCCCTGGGAACTCCCCCAAATGAGCTTTCTCAGGTGCTTTCCGGCACTGTCTTTGCCTCATGCCCCAAACCCACTCAGTCAGACTCAATATTCAGTGGCAGACTGGATGATGCACAGAAACACTCCTCCTCCCACTGCGTAGCCAAGTCCTTTCATCAGAAAGGCCAGCAAAATATAGTAAAGGGGAAGGATGCACGATGATGCAGGCACAAATGGTATCACCTCCATCGCAGCTTGGAAAAATCATGTGCTTTTGGGCCACACCAAGATGGTTCACCCAACAGAAAGCTTTTCCAGTGGTGTCTATATTGCTACCAAAAGTCCCTTATACCAGCGAGGACATTTAATTGTGCATCTCGCTAATACCAGGCACGAGGGCTATTTTGTATATTCATAACCTTCCTGTTTAGTACAGAAGGAGCCATTTCTGTAAAATTCAGTTGAATCTTACTTTTGGTGCGTGTTGCTGCTGTTTGTAAGGAACTAGGGTGGAGAGGTCTACCTTGCACGCATTGATCCACTGCGGAAGCGCTACACGAAAATCAGGAGGGAGTTTGGGATGTAAAGAGTATGCAGCCTAAATGGTCCCAAACACGAGCCCATCCCTTTAAAAACATTACTCCGATTTTGCGAGATTAAAGATTGAGTTATTATTTGTTTCTTTGAACTTTTACTCTGAGATGTCTTAGAGAAGACCTGGCAGAACCCAATCTTCACTGTATTTAAACATATTTCCTGCATCCTTATCTGTTCAGATACGGTTTACAGAGACTCATGTCTTGGTTTTTGTCAAAGATACTGGGGGGTTACACAGGTCTAAACATAACTCTTCGTATCAGCAGTAAGACTCGAGGAAACTCTGAATTGCAGCACTTTATACTGAAGGGATCCCTAAATGATTCTTTTCTTCTCACAATCATTCAAGAACTTGAAAGTCCAGGGAGTAGCCTCAAATCTCTCATTCTCATAAATTTAACAGAGGTCACAGCATGGCCAATTCAGCTGAAAAGTGTTATTACAGAAAAACTTGATGATACTTTTATGTTCACCGAAGTGAACATAATTCTCTGGGTCTTTTAGCTACGTATAGCATGTCTTATCCATAGAGACACTTCAGCAGATATATACAGCACCATGAGCAAAGTTAAAAGTGATGAATTCACTGATTTATAACTTCTACTGATAACAAGATGATAGAAAATCTTAAATGTATGGGTATTATTATATACACTGTGTAACTTCGCTCAGCAGAGAAGAGATGCAAAAGAAAAAACCCAAAATTTATCACACCTGAACTAGGGGGATGCTTCCTTCTTGAACGACCCTTGTTGCCTGTAAAGAATTGAGCTCATCTCTAACCAAGGCTCAAAAAAACCTTAAAGACATGGTTAGCTTTGTAGGTGCTAAGTGTGGATGTGGGTCTGTAATCCACACATGGGAAGCAAGATGAATACGCAGAAGAGTTTTTTTTTCTTGACAGATTTAATCTTCTAAAGAGATCTCAAACTGCTGAGTTGACATTGCACCTCCGAAAGATCAGCCCCTGGATTTTAACTCTGTAGGCACAAGAAACTAATTATTATAACTAAACTCATTAGTGACGAGGAGCTTGACGAGCAGGCCGGATCCTACTCCTTCCATTTTAAAGCTTTCGTGACTGGAAAAACTGGACCCAAGTGGGAGTCCCTTGGTTATCCCTCATTTAAAGCAGAGGCTGCATTCATCCACATTAGGCTGCAGTTCCATCTTGGTGCCGTAAGGGTCCTCAGCACTCATCTCCAGGTGATCCAAGAGTTTAAGCACACCGCTTAGATAAATAGTAATTTGTTAACCTTCATTAGAAATCTACTTTTAAAGCTGATCCGCAGTGAAGTCACTTAGTGGGATGAAATCATTGCACAGTAAACAATCCTGTTAGGGATGTTTATCCAAGCAAAGGACATCCAATTGCATTTTCATTAGTACCTCTATATGGTTATTGTCCTTAAAGACAAGGCTCTTAGACTTAATCTATTTGCTTACAGTTGTATCTAATGGCTCACAGATGAATTTTCTTAAGAACTAAAAGCTAATTTTTCACTACTCATTGGCATTACAAAAATCAAGTTGCCTGTAGATTAATGAAACAAAGATCTGAGGACCAACTGTGGTCCTGCCCAGTATCGCAGCTCTGTCAGTGCTGAGGACTCTCCAAAACTTTACAGAGTTGTGGGTTATGTCATTTTAATGCTGCACATTAAGAAATAGAACATTATTTAATGAGAAAGTCACTGGATGTGGTGAACAGCAGCCAATTTATTCATCTAGGAAAAAACTTTTTTTTTTTTAAAACAGGAAATGTGATGTTTCTCTCTAAATTCTACAAGGCTCAAGAAGAGGAGAAAGATGGTTGATCTCATCCTTTTTACATTCTATAGCAGTTTTCTGGAAGGACAATTCCTCCCATTCAATGAGGGGAAGAGTTTCTGGTTTCCTTGCCCTGTATCACTCTCTGCTGTCCTGCCCACGGGACCACGGCAGCAGAGCCCGAGGCAGAGTTCACCGCTGGCTTACGGAAATCAGTAAATAGCTGTCTGGGTCTCCCCCTTCAACCTCCACCTCAAGGCAGCCACAGATTTTGGGAGCCTGAAGATGAGCCTTTATTTTTGAAAGTGGGGGAAAATATAGTTTCTTCCCTCACTGTGCTTTTTAATTTTTAGCTTATTATCTGCTCTCTTGACTGCCCCTTCCAGGAAGATGACACTGCGCTTTATATTAAGTTCACATGTCTTTGTACTGACTTTTGTGGCGTTAACTCTACTTAAAGTCAGGGTATATTTTACTTAGAAGTCAGTTTTCTCCATTTATCAGTTACAAAAAGCATTTCTACCCAACAAAAGGTACATTACAGCATTAGTAAATAACATTTTTGTTTCTTGTACAGCTTTGCAGTAAAGGTGCTGCTATAGACGATCCCTTTGAGTCATCTCCAGAAGATATTTCCAGTATTGCCAGTTTTATTGAGACAAAGCTTGTAACCTGCTACTTAAAACTGAGGAAGCCTGACGATGCTCTGAATCATTCGCACAGGTAAAAATAAATATTGATTAGATACACCGCTATGACTGAAATCAAAACTTAAACAAAGACTATGGAAAAATCCTGTGTAGGAAGAATCAGTCTAATAACGAGAAAAGAGGAATCAATAAAACACAACTTACACGGGGCACTGGTCTTTAGATTGGACTAATTCTCGGAATTTGAGACATCAAGCCACAAACATTTACTGCTTTGATAACGCGGGAGGTAAGGATATGCAGGTGAGTCACATACATAGTTCAGGGCACCCTTAAGATTGAAGCTGGACAAATATAAACATGCTCAGCCTTATATGACAGTAATGATATTACGAGCTCTTGATCTTTTACAAGCCAGATTAGGTCAAGGATGGCTTCAAATTATTTTCATTACATAATTCCTCATGGGCTCACTTGTGATCCACATCAAAGACCAGCACCACCAGCAATGCATAAAGCAGCCAGAAACAAAACTTGCACATGGTGGAGATGAAATTCCCATTAGTTTCAGATGAGTTAGGATTTTGCTGGGTTTGTGCTGCCTTTAATTAGCATTCAGGCATAACGATAGTTTCTGTTAAGCGCGTGCATGTCCTGCCAGCAACACTTCATTACTGAGGTCTCTGTTCATTTTTTCCCTTGTACGAGATGTATTAGGATGGACACTGCAATTAGCGTGGGGTGAGGATTTTTTCCGTACAATCATCTCAAATGAATGTAACTACAAAAGAGTAGTTACAACGGAGGAGGAGGCACGTGCTTGTGCCTAATGCGCGGGAGACAGCGGTGAAGAATAAGGAGTTGGTATACAAATGCGATGCCATGATGGCAGCAGGTTCATTTAGCTACATGCAAAGTCACGGAAAGTCTGAGAATCCCAATTTAATGCCAATGTCTTCATCTCCTGTTCCCCACACATCCCCACCCCTTTCCCAAACACTTCTTGTCTGTAAAGTTATGTCCACCCGGAACCTATCCACGTCACGGGGGTGCATCCTGCCAAGCGGTTCCATCTGGGCTGGGGGCCTGAACACCCATGAGTTATTGGAAAAGAAAAAGAACATATAAACTTTGACTGGACTCCCAACTTTTGGAAAAATGGTAATAATCTCTCTCTTATTCTAACCGTGATTTGCAGGAAGGCTACAATAAGGAAGCTGCATAGGAAGGAAGTACACTATAAATATAACTAGAACGGGAAATACTTTTTATTTTTTACCTCCTTTAAAGTATCTCGATTTCAAAATAGTAAGATGTATTGACCCCAGTGCTACACAAAATAAAGCCTATTCAGACATGCTTTGGTTTCAATCATCTTAAAACAGAAACCATGACCTATGGAGAAAATAAGTGCAGTTGGATTGAGATCACCGGAAAACTGAAATAGGGAAAAAAAAATCTTCACTCTCCTTTCATATATAATTATAACAATTTGTTCTTAACACCTCTAGTTACATAGCACAAAGCAAAGTGGCAATCAGTAATGCCTATTTTCAACATAATTCTTTTAATAACTTGCAGAATGGGAATAAACCTACTGACCATGGTTGTCACATTGCAAAATGCAGGAATGGATACGACAGTCTAACAGTAATCAAAAAAAAAAATATTCTGAGGCATAATTAACATAAAGACAAAGCTTGAAATGTAATCAATAGCTATATTTTTCAAAAAAGAGCAAATAAATTACTCCGAGCTCTCCTACTAAAAATAGCTTACTGCTATCAGTTAACTCGTGCATATAGAATTTTTATTCCCATTGAGTTTTTATGTCATCACCACATTGTAATGGTTTGCTGGTAATCCTTGGGCATTAATCATGAATCCAAATTAAAAATATTCGTTTCTGCATTTATTTGCATTTACTGAACTCTTCTTTCTTTAATTTCATGTAAATTTCACAGCTCCTGCATTCATTTCTGAAACCTTATTAACCAAAAATCAGCTTTAATATTCTCACACGTAGTTGTATCAAATATATAGAAGTGGGTTTTGCTAGGAAGAAATCTTATGAAATATCACAACTCGACAAATGGAGAAAAAAGAGAAAAATTCCAGCAGCTCGGTTTTAAAGTGTCCAAGAACAGGCATCTTCAGGGGAACAGCTTCCCCATTCTTAAGGAAGGAAAGGGAGTACAATTTGTATCATCAGCTTTAGATCCCGTATGAGAAGCCAAGTCTGGGTCCTCCCAAAGAGTCAAAATTGTATTCTCTGGTTTCTTAATATCAAAATTTAAGGCTGCCTTTAGCATCACTGGCACAGTTGAGGACACTGGCTGGGTTCTGATTATTTGTCAGGCTGATACAAAAGATTTACCCTTTGCAATCAAACACTATTAAAACCACTTCTCATCTGTCACAGCTCTGAACAAACATGCCATGGACTGACCTCACCAAGCAACATCTGCAGTAACCTACTTGACCACCACTTTTCATCATAAGATAGCCATCAAAATAATTCCTAACTTGCAGTCTGAAGCTATAAAATGAATCACACAATATTTACATGCCCTGTGGTCCTTTTGGCCCAGGCATTATGGCATACCAGGGTTTAATGATCTTAATAACCCCATATGGCTTGCTGAGAAATTAGATTTTCCCTTTGGTTACAGAAAGCAATTTTCAATTATAGCAGATGGCAAAACAGTGAAGGTCTGAGAAGTCAAGAACTGACTAAGAAACCTCAGGTTAGTACTTAGGCCTTATGTTGCTCAGCCTAATAATGTCGGTGGTTGAATTTTTGCCCCAAATGAAAACAATCTTGAAGCAGAGCACAGCATTTCAGCAGAGCAGTCCCCCAATTACGCCTGCTCTTCAGAGGGCCTGGTCCAACAGAGAAATCCATAAAGCTGCAGTCGCATGTGGAAAAACAACCCTCAGTGCACCACGTACGCAACTCAGCAACTGTTAAGTTTCAATTTTGTTTGAAATTGGAGAGAGCGATGCTGAGCTCCATGACAATTGAAGATGGAGGATCCTTCAAAACATGATATACATGACACTGTCAGTGAGACTCTATATTCCCTTTTAGTTTCCTTGTTTATTTTGCTTTTTGCCTCCTTGCAAGCTCAAATTAATCTACATCAACACCGTGCAACTTGCCGTTTGCACGTGGGAAAACAAGACAGAAACTTTCTCTTGGAAATAGGCTTCTTGCCATTGCGCCACCACTTTCTCAACTGCTGTCATCCCTGTGGCACACGAGATTTGAGGAATGACAGACACATGGCTTGATCCAGTTGCCTGAACATAAGACTGCTCTTCATAGAGATCCTGTACATGGATCAAGCACTAAGAAATATGGAAAAGGTTGAAGTCGCCTACCTGGCAGCAAGTGACAAAACCCCAATTTGTTTCATTTCTGCCTGCTTTGGATCACTCCCTGCCCAGCTGCAGTGGGGCTGCTGGTCCCATAGGACTCCTCAGCAGGGAAACGAGAGTCAAACCTCTTCCCAATGGGATTGCCATCGTGCCATAGGAAGCCCACAGCTGGCGGCAGAAGGTGTGTTGGGAATTGCCATCTGGAAGGATGTTTGCAACCTGCCTCCTTCCAGACCATCGCTGGGCTTCACTCCCTGCCCCCCTTCCCTCGATCTGGAAGTTGTAGATGTAAGGGCCAAGGGGAGGAAGAAGAATCAGACTTTTTTGGCATGTTTCTCTGTCACCTTTAAGTAATGCCTGAAAAATATGTTCATGATAATGAGGACTGCTGTACAGAGCTATTAAAAAAATCTTTGGGGGTGAGCAAAGATTTTCCTGTGTCCTTGCAGACTCTGCTCCGCAGCATGACCTGCTGCCAATTTTCTCCCTCCCTCCCAGAAAGGCAATGCATAGAGAATGTAATAAATCTGCAAAGCTTTTTCTGCTATGCCTTTTTATGCATTCGGTGGAAGGCAGGGCTCTCTAATGCCTCTTGCACAATTCATAGGGAGACACATGAAGTAGAAAATAGCACCTCTGTTAAGTAGTACATGATTGCTTTAGTGATGACTTAACAGAGGGAATCTCTTATGGAGGCACAGTGGGGAGGGGAAAAAAAAAAAATCTAACACAGGTGAAGCCTCACAGATTTAATTCTAAAACCTCTGCATTTTTCCCAGTGACTTTTCAAACACTTACAAAAGGTTTAAGATAATTATTAGTCATCAAGCTTTACGCAATAGCTGTCAGAAAAAAAGGCACTCAAGACTTGGTCAGTGTACTATAGAAAGGATAAATCAGGATTCTCTAATCCAGATTAATTCAGAACTTTCACGCTAAAAAGTCAGTATTCAGCCACTCCTTCATTCCCTAGCTGCCTTATTTGGCACCTTTAAGATGGGAGTATATTGAAGTAAGTTGAAGAATGGAATTCTAGTGAAAAAGTAAATAATCAAAAATAAATAACACAGTGATGCTATGATACAGTGCAGTCAGTGGGCATTAAAATGGAGACAGAATAGAAGAGTTTGAGAAGGGCACAGATTTTTAGGTAGAAGTAGAAAAATGAGAAACATAATGGCTGATGCTGCTGATCTGTGGGAAGTCTGTAGTGTAACATATACTTTGCTCTAAACTACTCTCCTAATCTCTTTACCTCCTCAGAAAAGGGAAGAAAAAGAATGAGAAGAATTAGCAGCATCTAATTACTTCAGCAATTGTGTTAGACATATTGCAATATACATAATAGATGAGATATTATTAATACAAAGCTATTCCATTGAGATGCTCTGGATAATATAAACCAGAAGTACTCTTAAAATAATTCCTTCTCATGCAGCATTTCAAATATTTCTATGTACTTCAACTTTTTATTACTTTTTAAATGAAAAGTATTTTCTCTGGATTCTCATACTCGAACTCTGAATCATGTATTATTTCCAGGTTAGTAATATCAGTGACATAGTTCCTATTTTATGGGCCTCCGTTGAGGTCAAAGGCTGTATTCCCCTTGACTTTGATGCTGCTATATCGCAAAAACATCTCTCTACGCAATGTGTGGTGGGATCCTATTTAGGAAAGGCACATTTGGAA